CCCCTTCTTACTTATCTCCTGCTCTTCTTTCCCCTTCCTTCTTCCTCTCCTTTTCCCATTCTTCTTTTCTCTTCTTCTCACCTCCCAACTCCCCTACTTTCCCCTCTCTACTCCTCCCCTCTTTTCCATTCCTTTGTTGTTTCCTTTTTTAATTCAATCTGAGATGGTATTCGAGCAGACCCAATTTCTATTTACAAACGTCTTCATTTCCAATTTCATTTTTTACTTTACTATTATTCCTCTAGTATTTCTGTACATTTTTTAATCAATCCATGTATCATCTGGGTATAACATTTGTGCTATCATCTTCAAAGTTTACCATTATTTCTTAAAATATATATTTATTTCCTTCTTTCATTTAATTTTAATATACTACAACATATTCATCTCAAAGTTCTTGTCTTTATCCTGTTTATTATCTATACTCACTTTCTATCCATTGATAAAATTTTCCCCAAATGTTGTAATACTCCGATTCTGTTTTCCCTTTAATTGCCAATGTCAACCTATTCATTTCTGCACATTCCAATATTTTCTTAATTCCCTCTCCTTTTGTAGGGGTTTTTTCTATTTTCCACTTTTGTGCAAATATCATTCTTGCCGCCGTTATGATATGTATTATTAAATATATATGTTCTTTACTATACTTTTCTGAAAAAATACCCAACAGAAACAATTCTGGTTTTAAATCAATATGTTGCTGTGTCATCTTCTTTAGCCATATTCTAAGTCTTGCCCAATATTTTCTTGCTTCTGGACATGTCCACCACATATGATAATATGATCCCAGTATCTGATGACATTTTCAACATTTAGCTGATTTATTTTTAAACATTTTTGCCAATCTCTCTGGTGACATGTGCCATCTATAAAACATTTTATACAAATTCTCTTTGTATGCTGTGGCCATTGTTAATTTATAATTTCTTTCCCATAGTTGTTGCCATTTATCTAGCTCAATCGTATAGTCAAAATTTTTTGCCCATGCTATCATTGTTCCTTTCACTTGTTTTTCTTCCAACTTCACTTCCAATAAGTAGCTATACAGTCTTCTGATCATTTTCCCCCCAGTTCCTGTGAGTATCTCATCCAATGTTGTCATTTCCAAATAAAAACCATATAATTTTGCATCTTTCCCATATCTCGCTTGTATTTTCAACTGAGTATACCACTCCATTCCAATCCCTAGTTCCTCTAATTCTTGTTTTGTTTTCAGTTCCCCTGTTGCTGATAAGATATCTTTATATCTTATAATATTTCTCATATTCATAAGGTTTGGTATACAAATGCTTCCATTGTTGAAAGCCATATTGGTATTTTCAAATAATGTTTCTCTCTAATTCTTTCCCACACTAATAATGCATTTCTCACATGTCTTTGGAAATAACTATGCATTTTGTTCTTCCCATACCATAAAAAAGCGTGCTAACCTAGTTGTAAATCATGTCCCTTTAAAGTTAATAATCTTATATTTCTCAACACAATCCATTCCTTTGTCCAAGTTAATTCCCAATTTCGTAATCCAAAAACCCCTCTCAATCTTGCATCCTGTAACATTTTCATGCTAATCCTCGCTTTTTTCCCCTGCCATATAAATTTCAATATCATTTATTCAAATTTTCGAAGTATTTCTTTTCCACTTTCATTGGTATTGTCTGAAATAAGAACAGCAGGCTAGCTAATATATTCATCTTAATTACTGTTATTCTTCCCATTAATGATAATTGCAGTTTTCCCCTTTTTCCCAAGTCTGCTTCTATCTGATTTTTCAGCTTATAATAATTATCTTCTTTAATCGTTGCACACTTTGCTGTTAATTGTATTCCCAAATACCTTATTTTTTTAGTAATCTGGATATCTAGTTTCTCCATTAATTCTCTTTTCTGTTTCTCTGTAATATTTTTCACCAATATCTTTATCTTTATTAATTTTCAACCCTGCCACTTCTCCATATCTCTCTATTAGTTCTACTAATTTAGGACCTACTTCTAATGGTTCCTCTAATATAAACACTAAATCGTCCGCAAATGCTTGTAATTTATACTCTTCTTTTTTAATTTGTGTCCCCCTTATCTCTCTATTTTGTCTTATATTTCTAGTTAACACCTCTAGGGTCAATACAAATAACAATGGGGATAGAGGACATCCTTGTCTTGTTCCTTTCATAATATTAACTTTCTCTGTCATATCTCGATTTATGATTACCTTTGCAAATTGTTTACTATAAATTGTCTCAATCATCTTTATGAATCTTCCCCCAACTCCATACTCTGTAGTTGTTTCATCATAAATTTCCAATTCACATTATCAAAAGCTTTTTGCGCATCTAAAAACATCAATGCAATTTGTTTTTCTGGATGTGCCTCATAATATTCTAAAACATTCAAGATCTTCTCATATTATCTCTAATTTGCCTCTTTGGTAAAAAACCATTTTGGTCTGCATGTACAAATTCATTCAACAACCTCTTCAACCTATTCGCCATTATTGACGCAAATATTTTGTAATCCATGTTTAACAAAGATATCGGTCTATAGTTTTTAATTTGTTGTAAGTCTGTATCATCCTTCGGTATAAGCCAGTGGTGAAATCTAAAATTTGTTACTACCGGTTCTGTGGGCGTGGCTTGATGGTGGTGGGGGTAATGTGACTGGGTGGGCGTGGCCAATTTTTTTTTACTTTTAAAACCATTTTTTTTCCTTTTTTTTATTAAAAAGTTTTATCAAATATTACAGCAATTTTTTCCCCGTCCCTCCCCCCCCTTCCCTCCTCCACCCACCATCCATCCCCCATCCCCCCTCTCCCTCCAACCCCCCTCCTCCCACCCCGGACTTCCGGGGTATAACATTGTTACGATATTTTCAGGATCAGACTCAATAAATAAGTTGAGAATTATGAATTCAAATAAATCACTGTTTATTTACATAAGGCATTCTATATTCACTGAATATTCACAGATAGAAGCACAAAATGGACGTATGCAGCTCCTTATATATACAATGGGTGGAGCTAGATATGGGAGTGGTGAAATATGAATACATTAAGAGGTGAAGAATAAGTTAACCCCTGATACCCTGTTCATGTACTATTTACATAATGGAGAATAAGGCATTTACTTGTGACAAATCCCCCTCTAAATGCCGATTCGATATATTACAACAATTACAATCAGATTCAGAACAATATAAGACATGTAATTTAGAAGTCAAGTATTTATGTTGCTTAGACGGCAAAGGCTTTGTTAATATGTCAGCTATTTGCTCTGATGTTTCACAATGAACTGCTTTGATAAATCCATCTTGAGATAATTGTCTCACATGTTTAAACTTTATATCTATATGTCTGGACCTTTGTCCAATAGCATCAGACCTAGATATTTCGATAGCAGCTTTATTGTCTTCATGCATAATAAAAGGCAAAATGGGTTTCTTCCAAATATCAGAAAGTAAATCCTTAAACCATACAAGGTTATTTGCTGCCTTAGATAGACAAACATATTCTGCCTCTGTTGTTGAAGTGGCTACTAGATCTTGTTTGCCAGTATACCAGTAAACTGGACAACCGTTAAGGAAAAATAAATAACCAGATGTGCTTTTTCTACATGAGGTATCGCCAGCCCAATCCGCATCGGCATAACATGTGAGGATGGGTTCTTTGACAGTATTAGGTTCCAATAACAAACAGAAGTCTAAACTATTCTTCAAGTACCTTAATATCCTTTTGACAGCTTCCCAATGGTATAGAGATGGTTTGCTAACATGTCTGGACAATAAGTTGAGAGGCAAAGCAATATCAGGTCTAGTCCAATTGGAGATATAAAGAAGTGAACCTATGACTGACCTGTAAAATGTATTGTCTTTGAATTCAGGGGATGATTCATCTGTATTCTTCAAAAAATCAGTTTGCATTGGAGTATCGCAAGGCTTAGCATTACTTAAATTACATTTATTCAAGAGCTCTATGATTTTGTCTTTTTGAGAAAGCTTAAATCCTCTTCTGGTTTTACTGATTTGAACACCAAGATACTTATTTACTTTACCCAAAGATTTCAATGAAAAATGTTCATTCAGTTTTGTTACAAATGCTTCTCTCCTTTCATTATGTTTACCTATGTACAAAATATCATCCACATAGATCAATACAAATTCTAGTGAATCATCCTCTTTTTTGACAAAGAAACAATTATCAGCAGTAGTGGCATTGAAATCCATAGTTTTGAGTACTTTTACTAAACAATCATACCATTGTTTACCAGATTGTTTCAACCCGTATAAACTTTTATTTAGTAACCAAGTTTCATTTTTGTTTGTGTATTGACTGTGGGGTGCCCTCACATATATTTCTTTATCTAATTTTGCATGTAAATACGCAGTCTGTATGTCGTATTGGAATACATCGAGGTTGAGTGCTGATGCTATAACCAGAGCTGTCTTGACACTCTCTGTTCTTACTGTGGGGGAGTATGTATCTGTATAATCCTCGGGATATTTCTGTGCATAACCTTGTGCAACTAATCTAGCTTTGTATAGAGTATTGCCTCCCTCTAAATTTTTAATTTTATATATCCACCTAGTGTCAGGTTTCGGTTCTGTCTTAAAATAAGTTTCATTTTCAAGCGCAGTCTCTAATGAATCATTCTTTATTAAGAACAGAAATAGCCGACATTTCTGAGGCTAATTGCAGCTCAACTGGCCCCTCCTTCCAACCCCCTCCTCTTCCGCTCTCCAACCCGATTTCTCATTGGCCATTAGCCAATCCATCTCTCCATCCTGGCACGTACTTCTCACAGGAATGTGACCCCCACCCTCATCCCCCAGAAAACCCTATCTCTTGCATGCAGAAAACTAGGTAAAAGTTCATCTCAGCAATAATTCAGCACTTCTGGTCTTCATGACAGCACTGGAAGAGAGCATAAGTTGGAGTGCTGACATCCGGCCCCTCTCCCTTCACTTCCGCGACATCACCTATCCCATAGGAAAAACACAAGAAGATTAGTCCCATCAGCCCCTCCCTGGCTGTGCACCCCCCCCTCCCGGCTTTCCCGGGTGGTCTGCATGGAATTTTGCTATAAGGCGATCAGCTTGGATGTTTGCGCTCTTCACCCAGGAAGCCTCTGACAATGGGTAACCCTTCCATTTAATTAAGTACTGAAGGCGCCCCCTGTGCCATCTTGAATCGAGAATCCGCTGCACTTCATAATGCGTTTGGCCCCCAACAACCAGGGGCCCAGGGGGTTCACGTGGTGTTGGCCTTAAAGTAGACCCCACTACAGGTTTTAGAAGGCTACTGTGAAAAACGGGGTGAATTTTCCCCAAAAGCCGTGGCAACTGCAATTGCACCGTAACGGGGTTGATTATTTTTATTATAGGAAATGGTCCTATAAATTTTGGGCCCAATTTCCTGCTCGGGAGTCTAAGTCTCAAGTACTTGGTGGAGAGGTAAACTTTCTCTCCCAGCTGAAATGGTCTTTGGGGAGTTCGGTGCTTGTCTGCTTGGATGACAAAAGGCTGTTCTGAATCCGGGTGTTTTAAGACAGGTTCTTTCGCGAACAGTCCTTTTAGCGTCTCAAATGCCTGTTGGCAGGTCAGGTCCCACTGTAGGGGTTGTCCCGGGCGAGGTTTCATCGCTGGGCTTCCTGTCTTTAGGAGGTCTGTCAAAGGTTTGGCAATCTTCGCAAACGAGGGGATGAATTGTCTGTAGAAATTCGCAAAACCTAGAAAACTTTGCAATTGTCTGCGGGTGCGAGGGGGCTGCCATTGTAGAACTGATTGGACCTTGGCTGGGTCCATCTCTATCCCCTCATTTGATACTCGGTAGCCCAGGTAGTCTAGCCGTGATTGGTGGAAATCGCATTTTGGCAGTTTGACATATAGGTTTGCCCGTAGCAGTTTTTCCAGTACTTGGCGGACGAGGGGTATATGTTTGTCTATGGTCTCCGTGTAGATAAGAATATCGTCCAGGTAGACGAGGACCCCTTTGTAAAGGTGTTCATGTAAGACTTCGTTTATTAACTGCATGAACACTGCCGGGGCTCCTTGCAATCCAAAAGGCATTACTTTAAACTGGAAACTGCCCAGGGGGCAGTTGAATGCTGTTTTCCATTCATCTCCTGCCCTTATGCGTACTCGGTAATAAGCTTCTCGAAGGTCTAGTTTGGTGAAAACCTTTCCTTTAGCTAGGTGGGCTAACATGTCTTTCATGAGGGGGAGAGGGTACAAGTTGTGTACGCAAACAGCATTGATACTTCGAAAATCGACCACCAGTCTCATGGAGCCATCCTTTTTCTCTTTAAACATGACCGGCGCCGCTACCCTTGGTTTCACTGGCTCAATAAATCCCCTTTGTAAGTTTTTGTCTATGTAGTCCCGCATTTCCTGCATTTCTCGGGGCGTCATAGCATACATTTTAGGTTTGGGTAGTTTCGCTCCTGGGATAATCTCGATGGCACAATCGGTCTCGCGGTGGGGGGGCAGGATGTCACACTCGGCCTCGCTGAATACCCCTGCAAGGTCTTGGTACTCCCTTGGGATCTGGTTTGCGTTACAAGCGGTGGTGGGTGCGGCTGCCAATTGTTTTGCTGCACCTTCTGGGAGGGAGCCTTGTGTTGGTGGTGTTTTCTTCTGTAGTGGAGGGCTGCTTTGGGGTTTCAGCGTGGGAGGGAATTCTTCTGGTCGGGGCGGCAGGGGTTGGGGCCCCTTTGCTATTCTCAGCCTGCGGGTTCCCTCTTGCCACCAAATGATTGGGCCCCATTTGTCGAGCCATGAGAGTCCCAATATGACTGGTTCTGTCATCTTGGGGGCTATTATGAAGCGGATCGTCTCCCAGTGATCTGCGAGTTCTAGTCTCACGGGTTCAGTCAAATGTGTGGCATATGTTCCTCCCACTAGGGAGCCATCAACTTGCTCGAAGCGAATTGGTTGTTTGAGCTGTTTAGCTCGGATTCCCAATTTTAGAACTGTGGGTAGGTTGATTAGGCACCGTGTGCTACCCGAGTCTATTAGGGCTTGGAAAGTCTCTTGGGCCCCTGTTTTGGGGGCTGTTAGGCGTATGGGGAAAAGAAAAGGGTGGACGGGTCCACTCACCATCGGGTCATCCTCGCCTTCGTCTTCCGTGTCATAGGGTTCGGGGAACTGATCTCCCTCATCTGGGATTCCTCTGGTTTCGGTCAGATGAGCGAAAAACTCAGGGATTTGGGGAGTTTCCTGCGGTACGTGGGTGACGCGGTTGGGCCCTCGTTCCGGTCGTGCTTTGGGCGGTGGAGCTGGTCCCGGTCTAGGCGTTCCACATCTTGCTGCTATGTGGCCGCTTCCCCCACATCTGTAGCATTTCAGTGGGCTCCGTGGGGCAGTTGGTCTGTAGGAGGGCTGTGATGTTGGGGTTTCTCGTCTGTTGAGTGGCCCCTGGTCTGGTCGGCCTCTCTCCTTTCCCTCTGGTGGTTTTGACGTGTCAGTCGCCCGCAGCCCTCTGTCGACTTTTATCGCTACCCGGAACCATTCAGCGAGTCGGTTTGGGATGTCACGATAGGCAGTCACTTGGGAAATTCTTTTATCTAGGCTTGTTCTAAAAAAATACACCAGCAATCGCTCTGGTAGGGGAGGCAGTGTCCCAATGACTCTCCTGAATTCACGGATATGCTCTCTGATAGGCTTCCCCCTCTGCATTAGGTTTCTGAGTTCGTCTTCCACATAGGGGTCCTCCTCCTCCTCCTCATAACGGGCTCTCAAAAGTTGCAAGAACCCATCCGCATTTTGTAGCTGGGGGGCCCTGTATTTGTAGAGTGATGCTGACCACCTCTTTGCTTCTCCCTCCAGCCCTTCCCTGATAGCATTCACTAGGGCTCTGGGGAAAGGGTAGAGGTGTCCGAACCGCTCTATGTATATCTCAGCTGAATCGAGGAATTGGGCGAGGTTGTCTGGGTCACCATCGAACTTCCCTCTGAACTGGGGTGGCTCCTCCCTCTCTGCCCTCTCCTCTCTGTGCTGAGCTCTGGAGGGCCAGCCCTGGTGTTGATAGTCCTCTGCCTCGTCTCTCATCCTGGGGTGGGGAGGTGCTGCCTTGTCTGGGCTTCGCTGCCATTCCCATCCCCAGCTCGCCCTTCCCAATTCACTTAGGGGTTTTTCTTTATCTTTTAACTTTGCAAAAGGGGATTCCGCCTTTAAGGCTTTTGGCACAGTCCCCGGGTACTTATCTGCTTCACGTTTCTTTGCTTGAAGTTCTGCGGGGGGGGAAGGTGGAGAAAGTTGAACCTTTGTATTTTCCAAGTTGGCTGGAATCACGACCGCTTCTGCTCCTCCCGTTTCTTGAAGCAGGCTTTCCTCCGATAGCTTGGCTTCAGCCATAGTCCGTCCGACCAGTTGTGTGGGAGGGAACGGGATGATTTAAACTCAGCCAGCCTGGATTTGGAGGAGAGTTGAGCTGTCTGTCAGGTTTCGGTTCTGTCTTAAAATAAGTTTCATTTTCAAGCGCAGTCTCTAATGAATCATTCTTTATTAAGAACAGAAATAGCCAACATTTCTGAGGCTAATTGCAGCTCAACTGGCCCCTCCTTCCAACCCCCTCCTCTTCCGCTCTCCAACCCGATTTCTCATTGGCCATTAGCCAATCCATCTCTCCATCCTGGCACGTACTTCTCACAGGAATGTGACCCCCACCCTCATCCCCCAGAAAACCCTATCTCTTGCATGCAGAAAACTAGGTAAAAGTTCATCTCAGCAATAATTCAGCACTTCTGGTCTTCATGACAGCACTGGAAGAGAGCATAAGTTGGAGTGCTGACACCTAGTGCCAATGATGGTTTTGTCCTTTGGTGCAATTGTAGGTGTGAATACATTTAGCCCTCGTAAACTATCCATCTCTTTACTCATGGCTGATTCCCATTTTTTCTTTTCTTCAGGAGGAAGTTTTAACACTTCCTCATATGTGTTAGGTGTTGGTGATTCTCTATCCATATGCATTACATAATCTTTGTATTTGTTTGGCACTTGGTTTCTGCTACTTCTGATTGCTCTTTCTGGTTTAGTATCATTGTCATGCATATACCTCGCTTCCTTTTTTGTTAATGAATCTGTTCTTATTTTGTGTTGACTATTTGTCCATGTTTTGACTTTATTTTTATGCGTGTTGTTACTATGTTCTTCTCTATTCCCTTTTTCTTGGAGTTTAGTGCCTGAGTTGGTGTTTGGGAATATTTCGTTAAGATGTATTCTAGACCAGTTGGCCTGTTCATGGAACACAGCTGTTCTGGAAACTATAAATTTGTTATTACTATCGATAAATCTGTATCCTTTTGTACCTGTCTCGTATCCCATAAACCTAAGTCTTCTGGATACGTTCTCACCTTTGCGCCTCAATTGTTTAGGTATGTGTACGTCTGCAGTGACTCCAAATATGTGCATGTGTGCTAGTTTTGGTTTTCTGTTATACATTGCTTCATACGGTGTCTTATTTACAATACTGGACCAAGTTCTGTTTTGTGTGTAATTAGAATATTGTAGGGCTTCTGACCAGAATTGTTTACCTAAGCCAGCATCCTCTAATGTGCATCTAATCATGGTTTGTAATGTTGAGTTCTTTCTCTCTACCACTCCGTTCTGGAATGCAGAAAATGGGCTAGATGTGTAATGTAACATTCCTTTGTCTTTTAGCCATTGGGAGAATTCCTTAGACATGAATTCACATCCCCTAGCTGTCATGATTTGTTTTATTTTAATATTGTGTTGTGTTTCTATACGTTTGTAAAACTCCTTAAATTTCTGAAAGGTTTCATCTTTATGTTTTAATGTGTAAACAAATCCATAACGACTATAATCATCCACAATGGTTAGAAAGTAACGTTTTTTATAAGTAATTGATGGTGTTAATGGACCAACTAGATCCATGTGTACCAAATCAAAAATTTTGTTAGTTGATCTCGTTGACTTTCTAGGTCTGGGACTAGTTTTGAGTTTTGTAGATTTACATACTGAGCATTCCAAATAGTTTTCACAATTTTTTATTTTAACACCTTCTGCATGTTCAGTCATCTTTTGCACTACAGGAAAACTGGCATATCCTAATTTCCTATGTAAGACATGAGCACACTCATCGTGAATTGGTTTACCTATTTTAGGTTTTTTTTCATTGTGTGTATCTTTGTGGTTATGAGTTACTTCATGTTCCTCATTGTCACTGTTACTATTGTCTCCATTATCTATTTCATTGTCATCTTCCATATTTGAATCAATGTTGTTTAACCATTTCTCCTTTGTCATTAAATAAGGTAGACCTCCTTTGATTATTACTGTGCCTATGTTTGTTCTGTTTTTCTCTAATGTTGCCTTTCCTTTTGAGAACACAATGTTAATGTCAGAATCTCTGCTTAGTTTTATTGCACTAAGTATGTTATGAGGTATCTCAGGTATTAGTAATACCCCCTCTACTTTTCCTAGGCCTGGTAAGATTACATTCCCTCTAGCTATTACTTGAACCTTTTCTTGATTAGCTACTTTGATTACAAATTTATCTTCTACAAAAGAAGATAATATATTTTTATTATTTGTAGTGTGATTGGTTGCTCCAGAATCAATAAGCCAATTGTTGTTCTCTGGTTGTTGTATGTTAATGTTGTCATGTTTGTCTAGCCCATTCAGTGAACCAGACTTTCTATCCTTTGAATTGTCTCTGCCCCCTCTACGTTCTCTATAGTTGGGTGGACTTATATACCTATGTCTATCAATGGAAGATTGTCTGTTGTTGTACCTATTTCTATATTCTGACCTGTGTCTTTCTCTTAGAATTTTAGGACAATCCCTCCTATTATGTTCTCTGGACCCACAATCGTGGCATCTAAATGGTTCATGATATCTTTCTTGAAATGCTACCTTTTTATATTGATTGTGTTCTATGTGGTTGTTATAACGACTCCTCCTTGAATTGTCTTCAGCTATTAACTTGTTAGATAGACTTTCTATGGATAAGTATCCTAGATTGATTGTGTCTAAATGTGACATAATTATCCCATGATGGGTCAAGTGAGTTGATGATAACACTTTTCATCGTTTGATCTGAAATTACTTCCCCCCTTAAGTGCAGTTCTGCTCTAATTTTGTTTAAAGATATTAAATGTTCACTTATGGTAACCCCTGGCTTTATCCTAGAAGAGAAGAAATCTTTAGATATTCTTGTGGTAGTGGCTACACTTTCACTGTGAAATAAATTAAACATGCATTGAATAATTTCTGAGACAGTCAGATTTTGCTTAATACTGTGATACATGGCAGGAGATACACTGGAAATCAATAAGAAGAATGCTCTATGGTGTAGGCAATCTAACTTTAGAGTCCAAGGTCTTTTTGGGGGGTTAGTAATAAAGAAGAGTAAATTTTCTTTCATAAAGACAACCTGGAGCTGCTGATACCATTCTTGCAAATTAATGCCATCTATTCTCAGCTTTGGGAAGTCATTGGGTAAATTCCCAACATTGTTGGGTCCATTACTTACAACCGGAGGTAGTCCGTGGTCTTGCAAATGACGAAAGTTGCAAAACGGCGTGGGGATGCTTGCAACGAGTTTGCATGATTCTCTCCGCATCTCATGTCTCCCGAAGTTGTCTGGGTAGTCTTGCGCATGCGCGTTGCTCATTTCGTTTCTGGAGTCATCGTGAGAGGTTCTCGCTGCTGCAGCTTCCTCGCTCTGTTCTTCTGCCGATGAATCAGTCTCCGGCTCGATCTTTGGAGTCCTGGTGATAGCGGGCGCTCGTTTTCTTTCGCTGAAGGTGCTGGTCCTTGGATTAGTCTGCGGCGTGGGGCGGTATCTGCAGGGCTCTCTGGGCTCAGGCGTCGGTGCTCTCGCTGTCTGGATAGGAGCGGGTAGATTTTGAGGCGTTGGCTCGCTTGCTTGTTTTTTTGTTGATCTTTTAGTGATCTTCAGTTTCGGTCCAAATGCTGCAAAAAGCGTTTTCATTGCTGACTTTACTTGCATGTCTATTGAATCTTCTTCGTTCTCTGTGTCTGATTCTTTTGAGGTATATATTTTTTTCTCTTTCATTTTTGCATCGGGTAAAGCTTTTCGCGCCAGATATTTTGAATCCTGCTTTCTGATTGGCTCTGCTTCGCTCATCTTAGGGGTCTGTTGAAACCAAGATGGCTGCCATTCGAAATTTTGCGCGGGATTGTTGGTTTTCTTCTTCGTTGCGTTTTCATCTGCAATCATATTACTCACTATTTTTGAGTCTTTTGATTTTTCAGTGGCGATGTGCTTCTCTTTCGCTGCTCCGTTGTTTTTTAGTATATCTTGGAGGTTCCCGACGAGACTTTCATCGCTCTTTTGGCTTTTTAAAAGTTTCAGTATCTCTGACCTGAGTTCGTTGTTTTCTATTTCGTTTTCTTCTTGGTCATCATCTTCATTTATTATTTCTTCGTCGTCTGTGGTGTATTCTTCAGATTCTCTCGAAATTGCATTCGTGGACTCATCGATTATTTCTTGATCCGCTTCCATTTCTTTGCTGTATGCCCTGGTGTTGGGCCTATCTCTTTTAGACATGTTTAAGTTTTTATTGAGTCAATTCAACCATCCTCTGCTACCAGATTGTTACGATATTTTCAGGATCAGACTCAATAAATAAGTTGAGAATTATGAATTCAAATAAATCACTGTTTATTTACATAAGGCATTCTATATTCACTGAATATTCACAGATAGAAGCACAAAATGGACGTATGCAGCTCCTTATATATACAATGGTTGGAGCTAGATATGGGAGTGGTGAAATATGAATACATTAAGAGGTGAAGAATAAGTTAACCCCTGATACCCTGTTCATGTACTATTTACATAATGGAGAATAAGGCATTTACTTGTGACAAACATTTAACAAACATAAACTAAAATATGCTAATTTTCTGTAGGCTCTTAATTCCCTCTTGCTCTCTAACTTCCCTTTCAACTAACAAAACATAATTCAAAAAGAAAAAGTTGATTTCATTCATAAGCTATTTGAAGCTTTTTAGTCCGATATTTATTTTGAATATAGTCAATCCATCTTCTCCATTCCGATATATATCTTTCATTTGAATGGTCCTTCAAATACGCTGAAATATTGGCCATCTCTGCCAAGTTCACTACTTTTAGTGTCGATTCTTCAATAGTAGGCAAATCTTCCTCCTTCCAATACTGCGCCACCAAAAGTCTGGCTGCTGTTATTAAATTTAAAATCAATTTAGTCTCTATAACAGTACAATCTGTAATTATACCTAACAAGAAGAACTGTGGAGTAAATTTTATCTTCTTTTTGAGAATATTTTGAATAATCCACCATATTTTTATCCAAAATGCCTTAATTTTTTTACACGTCCACCATATATGATAATACATGGCATCATCACATTCACATCTCCAACACTTGGGTTGCACACTTGGATACATACAGGCTAGTTTTTTAGGATCTAGATGCCATCTATAAAACATTTTATAAAAATTCTCTCTTAAGTTTTGGGCTTGCGTAAACTTCACATTTCTAACCCATATTTT